AATGGAAGCATCTGAAAAGTATTTAAGACAAAATGACCTGAGGCCTCCTCCATGGACCTTGACATTATTTGTGTGTGAGTTTTTTCTTTTTTTCTCCCCATCACTTTACAACAAAAGAAATATTAATGCATGGTGATTTCCACCCATAGTCCAGAGTCATCTAGGACTTCATATGTGGGAGGATTTGTCACATGGTGGTGCATACTTGATGAAAGGATGAATAATGAAGTATCACAGTAAGTGCTTCTGCCAGGAATTTAGGGGCTGAAGATGCTAGGTCATTAGCACTGGGTATTTAAGAAAAGACCAACATGCCATACAAACATGTGTTTGTGTCACAGGAGCAGTGAGTTACTCACGTGAGCACTTTGTATCATACTCCACCAAAGACAAACTTTATTCCTTTTAAAGATTATAAAGCTCCAAAGCTACAGAGAAACCCTGTCTCGAAAAAACCAAAAAAATAAATAAATAAAGATTATAAAGTAGAATCAGATTCTATACTTCGGGAGATTTTTACTTTAAAACTAGAACATCTCTGGAGTCAAAAATGTATAATGGTGAATAAAATGCCATAGACATTTCTGTAGTTACCTATTTCTGTGCCAGCATTGGGGGGGGGTATTTCATGAAAAACTAAAATGTGATTATTTCACTTCAAGGGAGGAGTGCAGATAAAATGATGGTAGCACTGTTGGTAAAGTGCTTGCAGAATTACTTGTTTGCAAGAATCCACATTTTTGTTTCTGTTTTTTAAAGGGTGTCGGGGAGCCAGGCTGTGCTCCCAGTGGAGCCTGGGATAAGTCTCACTGGCTGGCCAGCCTAGCCACTGGTGAGCTACAGGTCAGTGAGAGAGAGACCCTGTCTCCAAAACCAAAGTAGACAGCACCAGAGAACACAGCCATGGTTGTCCTCTGCCCTCTACATTTACACTGTGGCATCCAGCCTCACATGTGTACCCTCAGAGATGAGCAAATGTAATTTAAAAAGCAGATTAACCCTGTAAGCTAAACATTAATAATGAACTACATTTGGAAAACTATATTAATCCTACTTGAACGAGTAGTTAAAATAATTTGCCTTAAAAATATTAAGTATCAGCCAGGTGTTGTAGCGCATGCCTTTAATTCCTGCAGAGGTAGGCCAGCTGAGTTCATGGCCAGCCTGATCTGCAGAGTGAGTTCCAGGGCAGCCAGAGCTATACAGAGAAACCCTGTCACGGACTTTTTTTTTTAAATATTACTACCTCAGTACTAATTTTTCTGTAAGTACAGAGCTCGTATCTGAATCCAGATACCCTGGGTTCAAATCTTGGCTTTTCTGACTTTTGCTATTATTTCGAGACAGGATCTCACTATGTAGACTAGACTCACAGAAATCCACCTGCCTCTGCCTCCCAAGTGCTAGATTATCAAAGGCATGTGCTACCATATACTACCTATGGCTCTTCCAATTAACATGGCTTTTGCAATCATTTGCCATGTCCATGGACAGGTTATTAATTCCTGCATGCTTCAGAGTCTTGTAAAACGGCACTCGTGGCAATATAACACCTGCCTCAGGAATGGAGTGAAGAGTTAATGTAGAAGGCTTCTAGAACTTCCTGCAACGTGCCTACTAATAGCACGCAAAAGATGCAACTGATTTGCAGAAATAGGTATGTCAAGCCGGGCGGTGTTGGCACACACCTTTAATCCTAGCACTTGGGAGGCAGAGGCAGGTGGATCTCTGTGAGTTCGAGACCAGCCTGGTCTACAAAAGCTAATTTCAGGAAGGCTCCAAAAGCTACAGAGAAACCCTGTCTCAAAAAACAAAAGAAAAGAAATAGGTATGTCCGACTGTTTCCCTGGAGCAAAAGATGTGTTATTTCAGTAACTTATTTCTCTTGGTAGCCCTGGCTATCCTGGAACCCAGAGATTTGCCTGCCACTGCCTCCCAAGTTCAAAGGCATGTGCCACTTCCTAAAGCTGGGTGTAGTGGCACATACTTTTAATCCCAGCACTCCTGGAGGCAGAGACAGGTAGATCTCGGTGCCAGCCTGGTCTACTAAATGAGTTCCAGTATAGCCAGGGCAGTTACATAGAGAAACTGTTTCAAGAGAAAGAGAGAGATCATAAAGTAGATTCTGATGTTTTGATATAGTTCAGTCCGTCCTTCCCCCCCCCCACCCCCACGGGGTTTCTTTGTAGTTTTTAAGGCTGTCCTGGAACTAGCTCTTGTAGACCAGGCTGGCCTATGCCACTACTGCCCAGCTTATAGTTCAGTCTCTTTAAGATTAAAGTTTGAGCCAGGCATGGTGTTGCATGCACACCATTAGCTGTTCCCATCCGTCCACCCCCCCCTCTTCCCCCCACACAAAAGCTTACAGTTATATAAATTGAGAAAAACTTTCACTAATACTCATTTCCATTTTTGGTACGAGTCAGTAGGCATTGTACAGAGCATGGGGTAGAAACAGGTGTTGGGTGATGACCTGACTTATGGTAGGCTGCTTCTCTGCTTCCTGTTCTACATCTGCAAAGCATAGGTAATAAAGTGCTGCTATCTTATAGGGTTGCTGTATTCCCCGGTTATTAATAAAATAGTGTGAAATGTTTTAGTATTGTCACCACTGCATACCCTGGTCTCACCCAGGAAGTCTCTTTAGTGACTAGCCACAGATGTTCCAAGTGCAGAGATTATGTATAAGGATCATATCTTGATCCTTGGGCTTTAAGGCCCAACTTGGGTTAGAAAAGAATGAGAAAGATTGTGACATGATAACCTTTCACAGGGTTTGATGCAGACAGGACTATATGTCCAAATTTCTTCTGTGTGTTATTTCTAGACTTTCAACCATTTAATCTGTTCAGTTCCTACGTAGTTTTTAAAAGATGAGTCATTTTGGTAGCCACCCCCACTCCAAAAAGAGAGAACAAATTCTGTGTATCTAAACAGCCCTCATGGATGTGATAATAATCCATTGGTAAAAGTACAAAAGCCACCAGTTGTGGTGGTGCACAACTGTAATCCCAGCACCTCTGGAGGCAGAGTTCCAGGACAGCCAGGATTACACAGAGAAACCCTGTCTTCAAAAAGCAAACAGAAATAAAAGGCTTGGGTTCTCTTTCCATACTTCTTCTCCCCCTCGCCCCCCCCCAAAAAAAACAGAAATGTGGTAGCCATCACCTCAGTAATTTTAAACCCATCCCATTTAAGACGAAAGCAAGAAAGCAGTTAGCTCCAGCAGGATGAATTAGTGTCTTAGTCTGAAGGATTTTGAAGCAAGCCAAGTGAATGTATAAAATTTAAATTTTATGATCATGGCAAGACTTTTACACTTAACACAATGGAAATATTCATTGTTTTCCCCAACGGAAAAAATCTGGGTCATACTATGTTGCACATAGACTAGAAATAAAAATTCGGGTACTTTTTCAAGTTTCTAAAGACTGCAAAATAACAAGCTATTATTTCACTTCCAAAATCTGAAGTCAGCAACATGATTCTTTAGAAGTTTCTCGGGCTTAAAAAGTCATTATTATTCAGATAAAGTAGTCCTCTTGTCACATTTTTTAAAGTCTCTGTTCCACCACAACTTCCTGAGATTGCAGTCTTGTGATCAGGAGAAGTCAGTGTCTGCTTTAGGTGTCAATCAGTTGTAGCCTGCTGATCTGATTAGAAGCCTTGACGAATGCCTGGTGGCGATTGCAGAGAACTGCCAAGCATTTGGGTATTATACAGTAGCCCATTGTTTTGGGATCAGCTCTTGTACAAGAATAAAGAAACAAAAACATCTGTAAGTATGGTATCAGAAAAATAACTGTCCACAACCAAAAGGGCAGGGAGAGTAACCGAGCTTTCAAGGAGTGTGTCCATGTGGTTCCTTCCCGAGGCTCCTCAGGGTGCTGCTGAATGTGTTCCAAAGCCAACCTGTTGTAAGTCTCATTGATTTCAAAAACATAGTAAAACGCTGCTGCACTTGCCAGCAAATACAGTCCCACTCCAATCCATCCCATCCGCTGACGGAAGTTCATCATTCTCCATGCTCTGTGCCTTCAATGTAAACACAGAAAAAAACTACAGTTAGGGTCTAGTAATGCTGCCATGGCAACTTCCAAGTGCACTTGTTTTAAATTTGAGTTCTGGAAAGCACGAGCATATTTAAGATTTAATAGCTGTAAACAACTTACAGGTGGTTGTTTTATATAACAATTGTGAGCACGTAAAAATATTAGTTTCAGTATACACTGAGTGCTACTATATATATATGTGTGTGTGTGTGTGTGAGCCCCACAGAGGGAATGAATCATCACATCTTGTTTGAATATACACAGTACATCTTTGTTTCAGATTATCTGGGTTATCTAGTTCCCGCACAGGACATGGCACTTGACAGTTAGAATGCTTTCTGACTTAACACTATTCATACATTCACACTGGGTTCTACTCTTTAAACCAATGTCGAAGCCCCAAAGTTAAGACAGTAACTCAGACACTTACAGTGGTCCCGAAAATCTTCCTGTTCCCCCAGCAAGCGTGCAAGAGTCACTCAGTTCTGAATAGTCAGGTACCTTTGGCATTTCAGAACAAGCCACCATAAGAGAAAGCCTCTGGGTCGCACAGCTCAGAGAAGCTGAGCGCCGCCGGCGGGAGCACGAGCTAATAGTGATTAAGCTCAGCGTGACCACGGCTGGTCAGGTCACGCGGCGGAGGGCCCCATCGCCCTCGGGAGCCCCGGTTGGGGGCAGCCACCTGGAGATGCTCGGCCTCCGGGGTCTCGGGGCAGCCGGGCCCGCCCCCCAGCCGCAAGCACTGCGGCGCCCGGGCTGAGCAGGCGGCGCTAGATCTGGCCTGCAGAGCCCCGAGCTCGGCACACGGCGAAGCGCCGGGCCAGCTTGACAGCCAAGCTAAGCAGTCCCGGGTCTCACCTTCCTGTCCTGAGTGGCCCGCCCGCTCGCAGTCCCGGATGCCGCCTCAGTCAGAGCTTCCGTCTTGGGCCGGAAACGTGTGCCCGCCTCTCGTTACGTCAGGCTGTCTCGACCTCACCGCCTCCTACCATCTCGGACAGAGGCGATTGTCTGTCCTTTGAGGTGGTTGCAGCAGTCGGTCCTCAACCTCTCCTGGCCTCAGCGGGCGAGGCGGGCTCTGGCACCGGGTCTCGTCTGAAGCCCTCAAAGGTCAGACGCCTTCCCCGGGATCCGAGCAGTGCGTCTATAACGGCGGGTCTGCGAGCGCTGGAGGCGGGAGGGCGGAGGAGCCGCTGCAGGGCGGCCCGAATACCGTTAATTTTCGTGGGTGTTCTGTCTTCTCAGGCTCCTGGACCTCGGCGAGTTGAAGAGACAAGTGCGCACATCACTGTGAGTGGCGGCGGCGGTGCCGCCTGGGCTAACTACGTCTTCAGTATTCTGGCACCATGACGCTGAGGCTCTTAGAAGACTGGTGCAGGGGGATGGATATGAGCCCTCGGAAAGCACTGTTGGTTGCCGGCATCCCTCTGACCTGCGGAGTGGCAGAAATCGAGGAGGCCTTGCAGGCTGGCCTGGCACCCTTGGGGGAACACAGACTGCTGGGGAGGATGTTCAGGAGGGATGAGAACAAGAATGTGGCCTTAGTAGGGCTTGCGGTAGAGACTACCAGTGCTCTGGTTCCCAAAGAGATACCTGGAAAAGGAGGTGTCTGGAGAGTGATCTTTAAGCCTCCTGATGCTGATAATGAGTTTTTATGCAAATTAAATGAGTTTTTAACGGGAGAGGGCATGACGATGGGCGAACTGACCAGAGTTCTTGGGAATCGAAATGACCCTCTCAGCTTAGCCCAGGGCATGATCCCTGTAATACGAGCCCCCATGCTGGCACAGGCATTAGATGCGGCCTTTAAGCCTACCCTGCAGTATCTGAGGTACAAAAAGCTGGGTGTTTTCTCAGGCAGGAATCCTCCAGGACCAGGTGAAGAAGAATTTGAGTCTTGGATGTTTCATACTTCTCAGATAATGAAAACATGGCAGGTGTCGGATGTAGAGAAAAGAAGGCGGTTGATAGAGAGCCTTAGAGGCCCAGCGTTTGAAATTATTCGAGCCCTCAAGATAAACAATCCTTTCATTACAGTTGCTGAATGCCTGGAGACTCTTGAGACAATATTTGGGGTTATTGATAATCCTAGGTCACTGCAGGTCAAATACCTTACTACTTACCAAAAGACGGATGAAAAGCTGTCTGCCTATGTTCTAAGGCTGGAGCCTTTGCTACAGAAATTGGTACAGAAAGGAGTAATTGAGAAAGAAGTTGTGAATCAGGCCCGTCTAGACCAGATTGTTGCTGGGGCAGTTCAGAAGACAGTCCGAAGAGAGCTTGGACTGCCAGAGGGTGGCCCAGCCCCAGGCTTACTGCAGTTACTGACGCTGATAAAAGAAAAGGAGGCAGCAGAGGAGGAGGAGGAGGAAGAAGAGGACTTCTTCGGGCTGAATTAGAAGGGTATTCGACTTGACCCAAGACCAGCAAAGATGTCATGGGTAGACAATGGAGCAATTCATGTCAGGGATCAGCCCGTTCCCACCTCGTGCTGCCAAGTAACTAACCCTTTGTCATGTTCACCCTATCGAATGTCTCCCCAGTGTATTACCAGCATGGACTTGTCATTCTACACTGATAATTATGTCAGTCAGAAGATCAGTCGTTCTACTAGTGCAGTGTTCCAGACCAAACAAAGTTCACTTAAACGTGTAATAGTCATATATGACCAAGTTAGCAGTTTTAGTAGTTTTTGAGTATTGTCACATTTCTGGTAAAGACCCTGAGCCAAGGCTGGCTACAATATTTAGGGTTTCTTTTTCTTAATAAATCAGTTATACTTTGCAACCAAAAAGTAAAATTGAATGCCGAGGTTAAGTCTGCAGCAGCTGTCTTTAAGTCTGTGCTGTGTCTGGCATGTTGTCAAAGTATCTGGTTCTCAATGCCATTTTCTTGGTGTTACTACATTGAATACATAAAGGAATGCTAATAATAAAATATTGTGTTTGATCTTTCTATACTTTGGGGTTCCAAAATACTACATTTCCCTTGAGACAGGGTCTCTGCTTAGCCCTGCTTGTCCTGGAACTCCCTCTGTAAACCAGGCTGGCCTCAAACTCGTGTATCTCCCCACCCCACCCCTCGCCCCCCAGTGTTGGGATTAAAGGTGTGTGCCACCACTACCTAGCTTGTTCAAGAACCAGACTGTACACAGATGGCAAGTAGTAGGCCCTGCTCCATCACTACTGAATTTGGAGGGAAAAAGAAAAATAAGGTTTTTTGTATTTTTCCAATCCTCAAAATCTTGTGAAATCACCTGTAGTCCCAGCACTTAACACCTGGGGAAGGAAGATTGGCCTTTCAAGGCCAGCCCAAACTATGTGGCGAGACCTTGTCTCCAAAGACAAAATTCTGTACATGGGGAAACTCAGTTCGCACCTGGGGAAATGGACACATGCCCAAGATGGAACAAGTAGTCATAGGGCTGTCCTCCCTGTCACAGGGTTGGCATTCTCTCCACTGTCCCTGTGCATGCATGTTGGAGTGCAATAGAGTACTCCAGGTTAGGATACATGGTTGGTTCCCTTAGGTTCTCCCACTACAGAATGCCTTGTGGACCCCTGAAAGCTGTGACTCGGCCTTGTTTGTGTGGTAGTTTAGGACACAGCAGGCACTGTCCTATAGGTTACTCATTTGTCTCAGTGTGAGAAACACTGTGAGACCCTGAGCTGAGGAAGTAAACTACAGGATAATCTCTGGCCTGACGGCTTATTCAGGCTCAGTTACAACAGCTGAAGTGGACAGTCCTTGGCCAGGAACTGAGGACCTGCTGAAGACCTGACGATGATCTGGTCCAAGAAGCTGTGTCCTCATCCCATCAATGAATGGGATGAGGCAAAGAAGTAGCTTGTCTATGGTTTGACAGATAATAATATAACCAATCCCCTCCCCTGCATTGGGTCTTTTTATATATATATATTTTTTTTTTTTTTTTGGTTTTTTGAGCCTGTCCTGGAACTAGCTCTGTAGACCAGGCTGGCCTCGAACTCACAGAGATCTGCCTGCCTCTGCCTCCCATCCTCTTTAATCCTCTGCTGGGATTAAAGGCATGCACCACCACCGACCGGCCAACAGTCTTTTTTTTTTTAAGATTTATTTATTTATTATGTAGAAAACATTCCTTCCATGTATGCTCGCATGCCAGAAGAGGGCACCAGATCTCATTATAGATGGCTGTGAGCCACCATGTGGTTGCTGGGAATTGAACTCAGGACCTTTGGAAGAGCAGTCAGTGCTTTTAACCTCTGAGCCATCTCTCCAGCCCCCATTTGACAGTCTTTAGCAGTGATGATGTCATAGGATAGTCAGGCTGCCTATTTGACAGTCTTTAGCTCAAAACAGCCAAGACAGGGAGGGCAAGACTGCAACTGGTGATTAAGGAGTCAAATTGCCCCATCAACACGAATACTCACAGTAAAAGAAAAAGAACTTATTAGCAGTGCTTTTAGCAGCGCTTCAATGTTTCACACCTGCTGATTGCCCCGCGCAACAGTCTTCTATCAAAGCAACGGACCAGGATCTACTTCCGGGCTGCCTACTAGCAGAGTCCTTGCTCTTCCTTTTTCATAAAGACTTGTTTTTATCTTATGAGAGCTTTGCGTACAGATATATATCCATCATATTTATGCAACGCCTGTGGAGGCCAGAAAAGGGCGAGATGGAGCTCCCAAGGCTGGAGTCCCAGAAAGCTGTGAGTCACCATATGAGCTGTTGTTGTTAGAGATATAGTTAGTGGGAACGAGCGGAGGGTCACCCAGGGCCTTGGTGGGAGACTGTGGTCAGTAAGAGACAAACAGATATGCCATGCAGAGAGAGTTTGGGTATAGAGTTTACTTAGTAGGTTATGGAGGGAAAAGGGAAAGGCAAAAATGGAGAAGGGGGACGAAGAGAGAGAGGCAGCAGCCACGTCTTCAGAAGAGGGACAAAAAGAGCAGGCAGGCTGGAGGAGGCAGAGATCCGCTGCCTCAGAGGAAGGGAGGGGTTGGGAGTGGACGGGGCTTGCTTGTCTTGTGACAGACCAAGTCAGCAGACCATAGCATGAGAGCCAGAAACTGAACCCAGAACCTCTGCAAGAGGTTAAGTGCTCTTAACGGTTAAGCCATCTCTCCAGTCCCCAGAGTCCTTGATCTTAATCTGTTTTATGTTATCTTGTTAACTTCTCATAGGAATATATCCGAAGACAGTTTCTATTTTACAGACAGGAAGCTTAAGGTACAGGAAGATTCAGTGCCAGGAGAGGGACACAGTCTGACTTCAGAGAGCTTTGCTTTAAAATAAATAAATAAATTTAAATGTATAAATGCTTGCTTACATGCTTGTATGTGTGACCACAGAAGCCAGAAGAGAATCATGGAACCCTGGAACTGGAGTTACACATGATTGTTTGCTGCCTTGTGTATGCTGGGAATGAATGCGGGTCGTCAACCAGATCAGCAAGTCCCCTTCCCTGCTGAGCCACCTCTCCAGCCCACAGACGGCTGTTCTCCTCTGCACGCATCTGGTGAATATATATAAGTGAGAAAATTAAAAAAGATTTATATTTATGAAGCTGAAAAATAATAAAAGCACATATGCCTTTTTAAACAGTTGTGTTTCAAAAACACAACGGCACTGCCAGACAGTGGGGGCACACGCCTTTCATCCCAGCACTTGGGAGGCAGAGGCCAGCTCTCTGTGAGTTCAAAGTCAGCCTGGTCGACAGAGGTTCCAGGACAGCCAGGGCAACACAAAGAAACCCTATCTTGAAAAACCAACAAACAGAAAGCCACAAGGGCACTAAAATTCTGTGTTAACGTGTTAGGACTTGAAGGGGAATTTCTTTTGTTTAAATAAATGCTTCAAGAAGTGAAAGGAAGGTGGGGAGTTGGGGGGGGGGGCTTCCGGAAGAGCCTTCCCACGGTGTCCGCGGCAGAGCAAACAGCCGGGTGTTAGTTCTAACCCAAAGTCAATACCTGTGCATTGCCGCTGATGTAAATAGAGAAGGGAGAACAGGTAAATCCTTACAGAAGAATTTCTGTGGCTACTTCACCCTTTAGGGCGTGTGTGATAAAACACTATGCTGGCCGGAAGCGGTTTATAGTAAAAAGTGTGTTGTTTGTTTTGTACTGCAGTTCCAGAGGTAGAGTCCACGAGGGCAAGGAGGGCGTGACAGCAGGCTGGACCAGGGAGCTGACTAGTTAGTTCTTCAGGAAGTCCAGAGAGCTAACTGGAGTAGGGCAAGGCTACAAACTCTCAGAGTAGGTTCCCCGTGAGCATGCTTCCTCCAGCAAAGTTCCATACTATTCCTCCAAAAAGAGCCACCAACTGGGGACAAGTGTGCAGACGCCTGAGCCTATGGAGGGCATTTGTCATTTAAACCACCCCAGGAAGCAACGTATATCCTGGTCCTGGCCCTCTGTGTGTAGGCTCTACTTGGTGGCTTCTGTCTAAGAATGAAGATTTGAAAAGGAGTCTAGGCGGTGGTCGTGGTGGTGTGGTGGTGGTGGTGTGGCAGCGGAGGAGGCGCACGCCTTTAATCCCAGCACTCTGTGGGTTCAAGGCCAGCCTGGTCTAGTTCCTGGACAGGTTCCGGAAACTACAAAGAAACCCTGTCTTGAAAAACAAAACAAAACAAACAAACGAACAAAGATATGGAAAGGGACAACAGTAACTTCTTGGAAAGACCTGGCAGGTGCTACCTTGGCACTAACATCAGTGACATCACTGTGATACAGCGAGGACCCCTAGAGCAATGTGACCAAGCCAGAACCCCAGGCTAATGATGACAACTGCGCCAGAGAAGCCCAGTTGGAGACTTTTTAAAAAAGTACTGAAAAACTAACCCAGACCAGAGGCAGTGCAGGAGTTGTGGTAACTCCAGTCGCACGGTAGTCTGCAGCTGATCTTGAACACATAAGGACACTAGGGGGAAATTAAACCCAGAGCTGGGGAGATGGCTCAGGTACTAAGGGCACTTGTTACTTTTTCAGGGGGACCTAGGTTTGTCTCCCAGCACCCACAGGGTGGCTCACATCCATCCATAACTCCAGCTCCCGGGGGATCCAGTGCCTTATGACCTCCATGGGCACCAGGCTTGCATGTGGTAGACATACCATACGTGCAGGCAAAACACATGTATATACATAAATCTAAAAACAAAAGATCCAATAAGAGGCCTAAATTCCCTGCTGCTGTGGCAAACACAGCCACAATCTGGGGAGGGAAGGGCTTATTTATAGGTCACAGTCCGGCGTCAGGGGCAGCAGAGGCAGAAGCAGAAACCACAGAAGGCAGTGGCTTTACTAGTTGACTTTCCAGGACCATCTGCCCAGGGGAGGCACCCACCACAGTGGGATGGGTCTTCCCATGTCAGTCATCAGTCTAGAAAATGCCCCCATAGACTGGCCAGCCTGATGGGGGCATCTTCTCAATTGAGGGTCCCTCTTCCTAGGTGACTCCAGCTTGTGTCAAGTTGGAAAAAAAAAAAAACCGAATTGGCACACTAATAGCAGGATATCTTTTGTCTTGGAGGGCACACATGCACAGCTGTAAGGTAAGATGGTAGGGAAAGGAGTTGAGTATGTGATAAGAACTGTCACACTGTCACAGAGCGGTGGTGGCGCACGCCTTGAGTCTCCACACTTGGGAGGCAGAAGCAGGCTGATCTCTACAGAGGTGGACAGTCTACAGAGTGAGTTCCAGGATGGCTGGGGCTACACAGAGAAACCCTGTCTCGAAACAAAAATAATAAGTAAAATTGTTCACTGAAATACATACATCCTTGAAGTACGTACATGCAAACAGCAAGCCCTGGATGCCAGCCAGAGCAATCAGCCATTAGGGCGTGAACACAGAAGCACCCACCTTTCCCAAACGGTAGTCGTAATAGTCGTTTAATTCCCACTAAACTGCACAGAACATTGAGTAGATCCAGACCAGCCAGAGCAGGAGGGATCTCT